TTGACATGAATTCGTTGTTATTTATTAATTTTCTTATTTGAGGGCCAACAAGTATGCCTTCTTCTACTTTGGCGTACGATAGTTGTGGATAGAGCTGAGTGAGATATTTAATTGCTGGGCCTTCTGGATTCAACGTTTTCACAAAGTTTTTCATCAAACCCAGTTTGATGTGTAGTGGAGGCAATATTACAGATGCTGGTCTCACCAGAGGCTTATTTAAGACATTGAAAGCACCAGTAATGTTCTCGAGAAGGCCAGTCTTTGCACACATAATGATACTCTCTCGATCGGCTATCCCACAAGCAAAGAAAACAGCAATATTTTGTAAAACCGCCTTGTAAGCCAGTAACCACAGCAATTATCTGAAAATCATAGAAATGTAAGTCAATACTTAAAAATTTAATTAATACTTAATTAAAAATTCGAAAGTACTGCAGAATTAAGTTAACCACATAAGTTAAAAGAATGTGGGTGGCTAAATATGTATAATAGGATCATTTTTCACAGGGGAGTAGTTTATTTTAAAATTTTAAATAAAAAACACCTGTTTATCTGAGCAAGAAGATAATATCGTATCGTACTGACATCCACAATATCAATATTCGTCGAAAAGATGCACTTACAGTTCCTTGTCACGCATCGGCTTCATTTCGGAATTCAAACTTTTAGAATACCCTTCCTCGTTCATTACAAATATTGAACCTGTCGAGTTTTAAATATAAATACAAGCGATATCTCTGTGAGCGGCAGATGGAATCAATTTAGGTTTTCTAGAGAAAAATTTTAATTTTTATTTGCTTTGTTTGTTATTCATGCATTCAATTTTTGTTTTTTGTATTTTATGTCTTGTGCGGTGTATTCATTTTCACTACATACTTAGAAGCAATATGTTGTACTACTTTGTGGTGTTGTCTGACCCAGCCACCTGTTAGCCTTTGCAATTTTGTTGTAATTTTGTTTTTGTAACTTTATACTTATTTTTTATTATTATTACGTTTTTGTATTTTGTTTTTTTTTGACTTGTACACTAATTGTAAGCGTTAATAAAGGCATTATTATTATTATTATTATAAAAAGTAGAAGTTAGTACATTTCTTTACTGCGGCAATTTCCTTTAAATCTGCTCGTAAAGAAAATCTGCTTTAAGACTGTTTTTAAAGCTATGGACAAAAAGACGCCGTTCACTTGATCTATGATCTATTTTCAATTCATCAAACAGTCTCTGCACGTTATTACAATAACAAATACCTTGATCTTTCGTAAAAAATTGTGTAAATGTTTCGCTTCTGTGTCGATAAACAGTTACACGGGTTGTAGGGTGAAAATAATTCCATTGCTGTAAGCGGGATGCCAATACCTCACTATCAACTTCAGATCTCTAGCTAAGTCACTTAATTCTTTCTGTGACAGTTTATGGTTTATTTTGGCATCATAATCGCTGCTATATACAGGGTGGTTCAGTTTTTAATCGGGAAACTTTACTAGGACGTAGTACTTGCCAAAATAACACAAGTTTTTTATATAAACATAGGGTCGCAACTCTTTTGTTTTCGAGCTATGAGCGATCAAAGTTGAGCTAAAAATTTACATTTTATTATTTATTTCGGCTATAAGTAAACCGAAGAATTTGAAATTTGGTATGTATTTACTACTGGTTAACATCTTGTTTTCTAGCATACCTTAAGCTTCCCTAGCGCCCTCTAAGGGGATGAAATTCACCACCCCCTTGGTTCTTTTTAGAAGAACTTTTTAACGCCATGGAGTATTAACATAAAAAAATATTGGTTATAAAGCTCATTCTTTAATGGTACTTTTTTGTCTCTTTAGTTTTTTTCCTAAAATTGATAGTTTTTGTGTAAAAAAATGGAATGTCGTGCCATGTACCGCCATGCTTAGCTAAAATTACTCTAAAAGTTGGCTTTGATTTTCAAAAAACAATTTATGTTTGTATTGAGACGAGCTGTTAGTTACGTTAAATCCTCTTAATTGTTGACAATTATTGAAAATATTTCTTGATTGTTATTAAGTAAAAGTATCATTATTTTTTTATTGTTGATCATTGTTTAAAAAACTACGAAAAATTGATCATGCCACGATTATTTTCGACAGAAGAATACGCAGACATTCATTTTATTTATGGTTTTTGTGATGGAAATGCGGAAGCGGCATCTAGAGAATACGCTAGAAGGTTTCCTAATAGAAGATGTCCTGATCCTCAGGTATTTATCAATACACATCAACGTTTTCGACAATATGGTTTAAATACCCAGCAAGTACGAAATAATCAAAATAACAGAAACCAAAGAGCAATTTTAAACCTTTTTGATAATGACAGCACATTAAGCAGTCGCATAGCTGCTAGACTACTTCAAGCTCAAAATTTACGAGTCTCAAGAAGTACAATTTTACGAACTCTGAAGAAGGACCACAGGAAACCCTATCGTTTTCAACCTGTACAAAATTTAAGACCTGAAGATGGTCCTAAAAGAGTAACTTTCTGTAGGTGGTTTGTACAGTCTGTTGAACGTGACCAAAATTTTTGTAAGAAGATTTTGTGGACAGATGAAGCCACGTTTACAAGAAGGGGTGTCGTAAATTACCATAACTTACATAGTTGGGAGCATGAAAATCCCCATGCAATACGTCCAAAAACCTACCAAACAGAGTTTAGTTTTAATGTGTGGATGGGTGTCATTAATAATAACCTCTGTGGGCCTTATTTTTTGCCACCTCGTTTGAACGCAACGATGTTTTTAAATTTTTTGCAAAACGATTTGGCGGAATGTTTATCGGACGTTCCTCTAGGTGATCTGGAGCAACATTGGCTTCAGATGGATGGGGCACCATCGCATTACAGCGCTAACGTACGTGCATGGTCATAGACGGATAGGACGACTAGGTCCTGTCAATTATCAAGAGGCAAACCGAGGTCCCGTTGCCTGGCCACCAAGGTCTCCTGATCTTAACGTTTTAGATTTTTTTGTGTGGGGCTATATGAAAAATCTAGTTTACGCCGCTCCAATAAACACTCGGGAAGAACTGTTGGGAAAAATAAAAGACGCTGCTAACACTTTAAGGAACAATCCGTTTCAAATATTAGCAGCAGTTAATTCTGTTGTTACAAGATGCCAAAAATGCATTGATAACAATGGCATGCATTTTGAACAATTTTTAAATTAATTGTGTTTATTTTTGTAATGAGTTTTTTTGATAAATTTGTTTCATTTTGATTCTTAATTAGTTTTCTGTTTGTTTTTTAACATTTTTCTCTTGTAATTTCCATTTTTTTAGTATACTATTTAATTTATTATTAAATGTTACTTATCTTTTGAATGATTATTTTAACTTAAATTTAATTAAATTTTTTATTACTTTAATGAGAAAACAAGTCAAGAGACGAAATCGTAAATAATTTGTGTTATTGTGTTAGCCCAAAATCCTGGTAAGTTTACATCTTCCATAGCCAACTTAAAATTTTGTTTTTTATTTGTAGGTAGCGCTTTGCCGCGCAATGTAACATATTTTATTTTTTTACGCAAAAACTATCAATTTTAAGAGAAAAACTAAAGAGACAAAAAAGAACCACTAAAGAATGAGCTGTACAACCCATATTTTTCTATGTTAATATTGCATTGCGTTAAAAAGTTCTTCTAAAAAGAACCAAGGGGGTGGTGAATTTCATCCCCTTAGAGGGCGCTAGGGAAGCTTAAGGTATGCTAGAAAACAAGATGTTAACCAATAGTAAATACATACCAAATTTCAAATTCTTCGGTTTACTTATAGCCGAAATAAATAATAAAATGTAAATTTTTAGCTCAACTTTGATCGCTCATAGCTCGAAAACAAAAGAGTTGCGACCCTACGTTTATATAAAAAACTTGTGTTATTTTGGCAAGTACTACGTCCTAGTAAAGTTTCCCGATTAAAAACTGAACCACCCTGTATAGACATACTCTCGTCATCCCAATAATGTATTGTCCGCAAATAAAACAGAACAAATCACTGTTCTCGCATTCAAAACGTCTGCTGCTGCTAGCCATTAACAATAAAACTTTTACAACACTTTGCTGTTTTCTTACAGGTTTATTTTGTAATTGTCGTTACTTAACGACATTGTTCGCCCAACGACTTTTTGTAAAAACCGTATTTTGTAAGTCGGTCGTTAGGAATTTGAACTGTAACGACAAAAATAAATGTTTTCATATCGGATAGTGCACATTTGAATTAATGTTGGCCCGTTTGACCTGGTTTGAACTAAAACAAGCAAATAACATAACTACATAACCTCAATCAACCTAAAACCCGTGTACCTGTGTATAGTATTATAATTGGATAGCGCTTATCTAAAATGTACCAATCGCCAAATTATAGTTTTGAGCAAATGGTGATTAAAGTTTTATAATGCTGAAAAATAAGTTTGTGGATGAAACGGATCAGCCTTTACATTTTATAACATGGAATAGATTCCTAAAGCATTCCAGTAAGTTTTTCACCGATTTAATTTTTTTTGACTTGATTTTTTTGACGAGAATGGCGCTTGGTTCTCTTTTGATTAAATAGAATTTTTTACATGGATCTACATACATCGTTTGTATGGCGTTTGGATCTTTATGCGTAATGCAAAAATATTGCATGGATCTGTTCTCACAATAAATACTACTTGATTTTTTATATTATAATAATAAAAAATGTATAGGAAAGTATTTTAATTTATTAATACAATAAATAATAACATAATAATTAACAAATTAATCATTTGTCTCAGGTATAAAATCAATGTTTTGACCAAATGCGTCTACATCGTCTTCAAAATCGGCACCATTTATGTTTCTATAAAAATACTTGACATCATTTGGTATCAGAGGCATCAAACTTTTAATGTCAGCCAGCTTTTTATTGGAAATTTCTTTTCCGTTGGGATACAATTGAAAAAGTTTTGATGCAAAATAAGGCTCTACACTGATTGGCCTGCCTTTGGTTAGTTTCCTTATGTTAATTTCTTAATAATCTTCATCATCTTTGTGGCTATACTTCATAAAAATTGAGAAAGGTGTTTCTTTACTAAATTTTATTACCCTAGCTTGAAGCCAATTAACGTGCTCTCTATTACTATCTATTTTTCGGTTGGTTATAAATTGCTCTATTCTTGAAGTTCCGACGAAGTCATCCTTTGTCATTTCAACCCCAACAAATTTACTCTTTGACGAACAAAGTTCAATGATTTTTTTAAACTCATCTAGAGTGTAAACACGTAATTGGTACTTTAGTTTTCTTTCAATCTCTCCAAAGTCCGTATCATTCGGTAAGAAGCTGTGGCCAGGCATCAGGTATTTGAAGTAGATAGTTTTAAGTGAAGTGTGCGATTCTAGAACAGCTTTTAAAAGTAATACGATTTTAATATTTCTATTTTGGCCTCCGCACGAGTCAGACCATAGAATTAAGTTTTCGGTTTCTTGCGCCAAAAATGTATCAACAAACTTTCTAATACAAGATCCGACCTCTTGAGCCCCACGTCCAGCTATTCCCTCTTTCCAAATAAAACAATATGGTGTGTTAGTTGAGGCTACATGTATGCCTTCATTGTAAATTGAAAGCTGTCTTTTGTAATAAACAATATTAGTGGGGAGTTTTGGCAATCCTAAAACTTTTTCTATATCGTATGTTGCTGTCTCAACTTTAACATCTGTTTTAGCTAGCTCCATATCATGTTTCATTGCATCGCGTGCTTCTTTCGCTATTAACAAGTGTTGTTCGTGTTGCAATTTAGTTTCGTCCAGTTCATCCTGGTTGCAGTTTCTAATTTTTGCGGTATAACTATCACATAAATTGCACGTGTCTTTTGCAGGGGCTTTGCGTCTCAAATTGAAATTTTCGTAAAAAATTGTTTTATATGTTGAAAATCCCACTTTGTGATTAGTTTCTTCTTCTGTATATAAACAATACATTTTATTTAATGTGAGGTCAGTTGCCAAAAACTTTGCCTCCGTTTCGTTTCTTGAATAATGGGATATATACATAGGAAATCTGGCAATCTGGTTTATTATCTTATCTTTTGTTTCTTTACTCAACTTATTATATCCTCCGCACTTAAATCCCCTTTCATCCTTAATATTACCGGTTTGTATTTTTTTCAAAGCGGTGTTTACCCTTTTGGGTGATATTTGTAAAGTTTTAATATACATATCTCTGCAGACTTTTATATTATTGACATGATAAGTTCGAGTATTTTGTCTTCTGTTACTTTCTTTGTTTCTTTTTCTCTTTATTCCTTGTTGTTTAACTGTTGCTGCTATAAGGGTTGTTTGAGCATTATAGCTCTCCAGTCCCCAAAATTGCGTAAAAAACTTTTCCCTTGCAGCAAGTGTAACATGTTCATTACATTTCAAAGTGCAATTGCATTGGAAATCTATAAACATTTTTGATTCTACTAGCTTGCCTTTAACTGTAAAATGTTTCTTATTTCCATCTTTTAATTTTGCAGGATATTTGGTGTACCTCCCTTTCTTAGGTCTGCCTTTTCGGTTTGATTTTTCTTCAAGTAACGCCAAATTTCTTTGAGTCTCTGCTAAGTTTTATTTCAAACTGGAATGCGAAATAGAATCCGAATCCTCTGAATCTGAACTTGGCTTATATTCACTTCCAGAATCTTCAAAGTCACTAATATGTTTAATATTCTTCTCTCTTTCACTGTTATAAGATACCTCGGTAGGATGAGAACATTCTTCTTTAGCTTCCTGGACTGACATATTCTGGTTAGTACCATCATATTTTAAATCACAGTTTATTAATGAATTGTCATTATTGTTTATTTTTTTTTTCGATTTATTTTTTAAGATTGGCGTTGTAGAAACAGAAATTATGTCGCTGCACGAAGTTTGCTAATAGCTAGAACTGGATATCTAAACAATAAAAAAAAATTCCTAACCTAAAAACACTAACATTTTGTACAAAAAAAACATTACTTACATAGGGCACGTCTGATCTATTTGTCAGTTTTAATGACAGATTCAAAATTCTAGCACTTCTATCACCCATTACAAAAACCTCGTGCTAACTTTAACACAAAACTAACATTCACGACAGCTCACAGCATTCAAGATGACACAATGAAACTCTAACTCAAAAAGGAACCAAACGCCAGATGTTTAATATTTAAACAGCTTCTGTGACTTGGATCCCTTTAGAAGTAAGTAGAATTCGATAATTCGTGTTGTGTCACTTGGTACCCTCAATAACAGAGGTCCCTACGAGCAGTTTAGTGTTTCGATCTTTTTAGAGTAACTAAGTCTTTGTTATAAAAGGCGTTTAGTGCATTTATATGAAAGAACGTGATTTGGCGGTTGGTACCTTTTAGATAAGCGCTATCCAATTATAATAGAATATATTTAAAGAATGGCCGGGTAAGTACAAAATATTGTAATAAAGCAAAATGTTTTTGTTATTAAAAAAACATATTTTAGATTAGAGACACCAGCAAAAAGACGTAGAGTGAGAACCACTCAAAACCAATACGAACTATACATCAATATGTTGGAAACAAATAAATATTTTAGAGAGAACAAAGTTACTCCTGATCACCCAAATGAGCTCACCAAATGTTGGGAGGACTTAGTTGTTAGTTTAAATTGTAGTGGCGGACCTCAGAAATCCTTAAATGAATGGAAGAGAGTAAATAATTATATAATATTCTGGAATAAGTGTGGAATAAGTGAAAAGCCAAGTCCGCAAAAGGTCAAAGATAATTAAAAACAGCTATACCGAGACAGGAAATAAAGGTGCACCAGAACGGGAACCTTTTTCCGAAATTGAAAAAAAACTATTATATCTGACATATTATAACTGAAATAGGAATAAATAATAATGAAAATATCGCAGTTGCTGTGGATCAAGAAAAAAATAAAGAGCAGCAAAAACTTTCAAACTCTTCAAAGAAAAAAAAAACTGATTCTTGAAGAACTACCCTTGAAGAAATAAATTAAAATCTTTAAAAATTAGTAGAGTTAAAAGAACAAGAGCTGCAGCTCATGAGGCTAAAGATGGAGCTAAAATATAATATAAACATAGAAGATGAAGACTAATTCTTGGTGTAATTTAATGTTAGTTTTTTGTGATATCAGTTATTTTTGAATGAATATTTTTATTTTAGTTTTTTTTGTGATATGGTTTTTTCTTAATGAATAGTTTTGTTTTATTTCTTTTTGATATCGTTCTTTTGAATAAATATTTTTGTTTTAGTTTTTTTAAATAAAAAATGTTCAAAGCTATTCCAACTAAATTTATTGAAAATAATTCCTAATCACATTATTTCTAATATTTACACCAACTTGATGTAGTTCATTATGCTCGTCATTATGTTGTACTTCATCTTCATTTTCATCAGGTGCTTCATTAGCAACATCTACATTTGCAATTTTAAGAATGTTATATAAAGTTGCACAAGCTATAGTTATTTTTGCTGCACTACTTGGGCTATAGTGTAACGTTCTGTCCTTTAAAAGGCACCTAAACGTTGCCTTCCAAACTCCGATGCATCTCTCAACGCAATTTCTTGTCGAACATAAAGTTCTATTGTACTGTCCTTCAGGTGTACCTTCTACTGCATTCAACACAGGTATCAGTAAGAAGGGCTGTAATGGATAGCCTGAGTCCCCCAGCAACCAAGAACTCCTTTCTCCATTTCTGTAACGACTTGTTAGTTCCCTATAAATATTGTTCATCATTCATATTGCTGAATCGTGGACACTTCCCGGATATTTAGGACAAAGTGCCAATATTTTCAAATCTGAATCGCAAATTATTTGACAATTAATACTATAGTAATTTTTACGATTCAAGAAAACTGCACGTGGTGGAAATCTACCAAATACTGGAGGTACAATTGCGATGTGAGTTCCATCTATAACTCCTATTACCCCAGGAAAATTAAATTTTTGTGAAAACCCATTCTTTATTACAGTAATTTCCTCTAAAGTTGTTGGAAATTTAAGATATCTTCCCGAAAAATGGTGTAATATTACGTCAGTGATATTTTTTATGCATTTGCTGACAGATGACTGAGACATTGAGGAACGGTTATCTGTTCCTGCAGATTTTTGATAGCTTCCTTGAGCATAAAAATGTAATGCTACAATAAATCGTAATGTTGGCGGTGTTCTTCTAATTCTTGTACCGGTTTCAAGAAAAGGACTCAGCTCAAGAAAAAATTCATGGGCCAAATTTACTGGAAATCTATTTCGAAAGATATCATCTGGCGTTTCAAATGGGTTGGTCACATCTCTCAATCGTCGCATATACAATTTATTTTCATTCCTAATATACATTAAAATTATGATATAATTAAATGTATAGGTAGTCTCACGTTTTTTACCTTCTTTCTGCATCCATCACCTCACAATATATCTTTGATCCGGAATAAAATAACTTGATTATTTCTGCTAATCACATAAACTACATACAAACGACTGCTATCTCGGTATCGTTACCTAACGACCAAACCTAACCTCAAAGTCTTTAGGCAACGATGTGGTTAGAAGTTACAAAATACGAATTGTCGTTCATAAACGACAAACGACGTCGTTGAGAGTTACAAAATAGGCCTGTTAAACGAAAGATCACTGAGGTGTCTCAAAAAATATTTCAAAAAAAGACTGTTTGGCAGAACAAGATTCTAATAAAGAAAAATTGTATTTTTAAGTATTTATTTGATTTCATATGATACAATGTTTATTCCGATTAAGTGTGGAAAACAATTTCAGTTAAGTGGTATTTTCCAAAATGCAGGAATAGGAAATCCCTAGCATATTTGTAAAGAATTTCGATAAAATAGGTTATTATTATTTTTTTACATCCTAACTTTTTTAAATTCCATTGCAGGTATCAACGAAAAACAATCAATAACTAGAATACCTATTTAAACGAGATTTCTTGGTAAATAAATAACCAATTGTTGGTAAAATAACCAATAGTTTTAAATTTTATTTTAGGGTAGATATGACAATTCACACAAACAATAATATGCATATTTACTTAAAAAAATAGATACACAAAAAAAAATTATTCATCTTCTTCGTAATCTTCTTATTCGTCAATTAATTCTTCAGGAAGTAACATTTCAATTGCTTCTTTTTGCAGAGGTTTAGAAAGTCTTTTTCCCTTTGGTCTTATCGAAGAGAACAGCGGATCTGACGTCAAAAGTAATCTATTTAAAAGGTCTTCGTTACATTTTTTCTTGAACATTTCCGCGCAAATCTCTCCCTGTAATTGTGAAAATGTTAGTTTCTGCATTCCGCTGCCTCTTCTGACAATTGTCCTATGGGCAACAAAGCATTTTGAATAATGTCAGGTCTATGAAATAAAATTTTATGAACGGTTGGGGACATCGGATACCATGGAAATAAATTTATATATGTTTCGGCAGTTTACAAGATGGAAGTGGAAAAATGTTAATCTTTTTCCACAGGATATGGTTTTTAAAATTACCTTGAAGCAAAATTTTAAGTTTTCATTAACTCCGGTAATTTTAGCAGCAAGTTTAGGATTGTTAAACAATCTTCTGCTTGTCTTCCCATCATTGGTATTACCAAAACCGGACTTAGGAATGTCGACCAATAATCCCATTTTGGTTTTAAATAAATTCCTTATTTCATTTTTTCTATTGGCTACAATATCGGCTTCTTCTTTAGACCCTCTCGTTTGCCACATTCCTATAGGAATTTTATATGACATATGTAAAATATGTTCAAACAGACGAATTCTCGCATGGAGAATAGATAATCCGAACTCCAAGGTTTCTTTCTTTACAGGGATTTTCTGCGTAATGTTATTAAAATCTTTTGTGGTAGCACCACAAATATAACACCTCATGGTAGATGAAGTATGTGTGACGGAGTTACACACTTTACCATCGACCATTGAAAAAATTAAGATATGTTTAACTATGGCTCCCTGGATTGCAACATTAGTCGGGTTTAGATTCTTAATTTGGTTGTTAACATAGTCTACTTCTTCATTTGTGACGTCTACAGTTTCGTGTAGAAATTGTATTCTTATCGGTCTATACAGCCGAGCTGAAGAGGGTGTCGGATTTACCCAAATAGTTTTTTTACCAACAGTTTTAACGGGACCATAGAACTTTGAAAGATGTTTGCGTCAGATGAAGTGGTATTCTCAACTTTTTGTGTTTGTTAAAATGATTTACTGGTTTTTTCAAGAATGCAACTATTAATATTTAACACCTTTATTACGAAACCATACGAAACCGACATGATTCTTACACTTTCTTAATCTAACGGTTCTAACCTCTTCTTATTAGGTTTTTTACGCGTAGGCAAGGTAGAACCCTAAACAAAACTGCATATTTCTATAACATTCCGGCCACCTTAAAACCTAGTTTTAATGTAAAGTCGTTTAAAGTTTAGTTTGTGTCATTTTGAACTGGCAATGAGCACACCTTTTTCACTGGTCTTTTAAAAATGCCCTTATTACACTTCACCGTCACTACACGCACGATGCCATCGTTACCCGGATGTACTTGGATGATACGTCCAGTTATCCAAAGAAAGGGAGGTGTGTTATCCTCTGCGAGTAGAACCAGCTCTCCAGGTCGAAGATTGTCAGTAGGTTGCTGTCATTTACTTCTTTCCTGTAGGTGATGAAGATATTCACGCTTCCATCGTTGCCAGAAGTGTTGCTTTAGCTGTTGAATATGCTCCAAGCCAGATAAACGGTTGGTTGCAGTATTTAGGTAACTAGGTGACGGTGTGTCGAATAAACTTGATCCAATTAGGAAATGTGAAGGAGTTAAAGGATTCAAGTCGTTTGGATCATTGGATAGAGGATATAATGGTCGAGAATTCAAGATAGCCTCAATTTCGCATAACAATGTGTAACATTCATTATAGGTTAAAGGAATATCTTTTGTGATTTTTAAAAAATGTCGTTTCATTGATTTTATTGACGCCTCCCAAAGACCCCCAAAATGTGGTGCTCTCGGTGGAATGAAACTCCAAGTTATTTTTTGTTTTGCTAGAAAGTTATGGATATCACAATCATTCCCTCGAAGAAATTCGTAAACCTCTGCAAGGAATTCTTGCACCGACAAAATTAGTGCCGTTATCAGAAAATATTTTTGTGCATAAACCTCGTCGTGCGATAAATCTACGTAATGCTGCCAAAAATTCCTCTGTTGTTAGATCAGGAACCAATTCTAAATGTATGGCCTTGGTTGACAAACATACAAATAACGCGATATATGCCTTGTTACTAATAATTTTACCTCTTCGACGTTTGCATTCTCTGACTTGTATTGGTCCTGCATAGTCAATGCCAGTGATAGTAAATGGTCTCTCTGAGGCTAATAATCGATCGATAGGTAAATTACCCATAAGGAGTTCAGCTTGTTTTGGTTTAAATTTAAAACAAATTAAACATTTTTTGACAACACTTTTTGCCTCCTTTCTAGCTGAGATAGGCCAATATTGCATTCTCACAGTAAATATTAGTTGTTCAGTACCACAATGTAAAAGTTTTTCATGTGTTTCTCTCATAATCAAATGTGTAATATAATGATCATTAGGAAGAAGATAAGGATGTTTGTGTTCCATCTCAATAAGCGCATTACACAATCTCCCACCCACTCTAATCAAACCTTTTTCATCCAGGAAAGGATTTAATTTCTTCAATCGACTGTTCTTCTTAACAAATCCTTTTTTCTTTAGATCATTTAAATCTTGCACGAAACTTGATTGTTGTACCATTTTAATTATTGTTAATTCTGCTTCCTTTAGTTCAGCAACNCGAAACTTGATTGTTGTACCATTTTAATTATTGTTAATTCTGCTTCCTTTAGTTCAGCAACTGTTAAATCTCCACTTATTCTTTCACTCAACTGATTTTTCCATCTAAGACAATAACCTATGACCCTTTTTAATTTATCAAATCTTGAATATCTCGTTAATATAGACAACGTTTGAAGTACGGGAAGTACTACTTTTCGTACCTTATGTTCTTCTGTTGTTTCATATTCTTCTGCTTGTTTAGGCCAATGTCCAGTTCGTATCCATTTTGGACCAAACCACCACAAATCATGATTTAGTAATTCTTCTGCAGTAATTCCACGCGATACAACATCAGCTGGATTATCAAATCCGTCAACATGTTGCCAAATGTAGTTGGAAGTTAATGTCTGTGCCTTTATCGGTGCCGCTCTTGATTTTCCACAAATCAAATTGGAAATGTAGTTACCCTGATCATCTTTTGACACTGCATATAAACATGCGCCATACGCCTTTTCACTTGCGTCACAAAACCCATAAATATCAAACGTACTCTGTGAAGGGTTCACATGTCTGGGTATATGCAATTCATTAATGTAGCACAATGAATTTATAAAATTTGTCCATGTATCTTGAAGTTCTTCTGAAATGTTAGTATCCCAATCAATGTTTAACTGCCATAATTGTTGCATGAATATTTTTGCTCTTACAATTATTGGAGACAGAAGTCCCAACGGATCGTATATGGTTGCAATTCTTGATAAAATATGTCTCTTTGTCATTTTGTTGTTTTTTGAAACATTTGCCTTGATGGTATATGTAATGTTATCTGATTTAGAATTCCACAATAAACCCAATGTTTTAATCGGACCTTCTTCTTTTATAACTAATAATTTTTCATTAATAGTTTCCCTTTCCAGATGCGCCAATATATCTAAATGATTAGCACGCCATTTCCGTAACTTAAAACCTCCCGATGAAAGCAAGTCATTCAAGTTCTGCTGCAATGTTATAGCTTCCTGTATAGTATTAGTTCCAGTTAACAAATCATCCATGTAGAAGTCATTTAATAGAACAGATTTAGCCTTTGCAAACTTATGTCCATCGTCTTGCGCTAGTTGTTTTAATGTTCTTAACGCTAAATAAGGAGCGCATGTCGTTCCATATGTAACAGTATTAAGTTCATAATATTTCAATGGTTCAGTTTCCGTTTCTCGCCAACATATCTTTTGGTATTTTCTATCTTCTTTATGAACTAATATTTGACGATACATCATACCTATGTCTGCAGTTAAAACATATGGATAGGTTCTAAAACGTATAATAATGTCAAGTAACTCATTCTGTATATTTGGACCCATTAACAAGTTATCATTTATAGATAAACCATTACTACTCTTAAAAGACCCATCGAAAACAACTCTTAATTTAGTTGTCATACTGTCTTGTTTTAATACTGGATGATGAGGTAGATAGAAACCATTATCAGTCATCTCATCTTTGTTTATTTCTGTCATATGATTCAAATTCTCATATTCTTGCATGAACTGTGTATAATGTTTTTTCATGTTTTCGTTCTTATTTAATTTATTTTCCATGTTGTAAAATCTTTGTTCAGCTCCTTGTTTTGAATTTCCTAGCGAAATTATTTCTCTCTTTGGTAAAGACACAATAAATCTTCCATCCTCGTTTCTCTTACAATCTCTTGAAAAAAGCTCTTCACAACGTTTGTCTTCGCCGCTTAAGTTTTCTTCTCTTTCTAGTTGCTCCTCCATTACCCAAAATCTTTCCAATTGTGTATCAATAGAAGTACAACTGATTAATCTATTATTTGTTTTTAAATTTAATCCGCCTGTTATAATAAAACCCAATTTTGTTCTTTGTAACACCATATGATCTATGGTTTGTCTTTTTAATAATAATATTTTCCAGAACTCAACTGCTCCCAGTAATATATCTATTTGATTTCTTTGATAAAAATAAGGATCTGCCATTTCTATGTTCTTTGGCACCTTGATTAAATCCTTTCTGAATGAAACCAAAGGCAAAGGATCTGTTATGTTTTCTAATATCAGGCAATTGATATTTGATGTATAATCATTAAATCGTGATCGATATATTAAATCAGTCTTAAATTTGATTGTCCTACTCCACCAACGGAATAATTTATGTTAGTCCTTGACAATTTTATAATATAATAACTTTATCTGTTATTTCCAGTATTTGACAACGATTACCAATGAATTGTATAAGTTCTATTGACATTTAGTTTTTGAATCCAATTTATCTGTTAAAATATGGTGTGATGTTTTACTTGTGTGTTTTTACACAAGTTATTAAACTATAAATTTGGGTTTCTTTAATTTTGAGAGACTCTTATTAAGCTCAGGGTTTCGGGCAAGTTCAGGTTCAAAAAGAAAACTAATCAGGTTCGACAAAAATTCATTTAATTAAACACAAAATCAAATTAACTCGTTATATGAGTAACAAAAAAAAAATGTTTTCCTAAATTTACTTTAATAACAATGCTTATTTGCGAGAGATAACTTTTAAATAAAATAGATAACTGCGGTTATCGACTGAAATATCGATATTAGAGAGAACCCGTTTATTATTTGAGAGAGAGAGTAGGATAAAACTCGTTAGAACTGTTCTTTGAAAATAACAAATGGCCGACGTCTTAAGTTGTCATCAAACTCGTTGAAGAAAAATAGAATTAAATAAATGAATGTTATTCAAGAAAACTAATAATTCTTTACCCACAAGTAAGTATTGATCAAAATTATAGGAAACTCTTGTGAGTTGTTCTTTGAGTTGGATTCTTTGATTTTTCTTTTTGTAGGTTATGTTAAATAAGAAAATAAAATTATCATCCCACTCACTACGAAAAAGAAAGGATTGGAGTTCAATGTGGTATCTGGATTATGGATTGTCTCTTGTGTTCGGGGCACTAACTAATTTTCTGGATTGTCTACAGGATTCTTCTTACGGGAAATTGAACTGCTTGTTCTTCGGAAATAGGGTCTTGGATGATCTCGAAGAAGTATCAGTAGTTCTCGGAATAGGTTGTAGGATGATTCTCTTTTTATTTTAATATCGTAAGTTGATTTGACTTTAAAAAATTATCTTAAATCTTTGAGGTTATCTCTTGAGATTCAAAATTTCTTCTATCTGACGACGTGGATTCGACGCTGGTCAGACGACGACTCTTCTGCATAGATTAAATAATTGTATATACTTATATAGATGGCGTGTTCTCCACCTTTAGATTTAACGCTGTTTTTAGTTGTGACCCGCGATACCAATGGCGCTAGTGAACATGCGCGGGAATTTTTAAAAATCTTTCAAATTTGATTTCCTTGATTTTTAAAAACTGCACGATAAAATTAAACAGAAACAATTTTCGCTTATAGCGAATTTGCTTCTGCAAAATTTCAACATACACAGTTATCAAAAAACAATTATATAGTGTAACAGGTATTATAATGTTAATAATAAAACAAAATTTGATTTCAACATCACCAACTTGTGTTGCTAAAGAAGCTTCTTCTTTTCCAGCTTCAATCATTGTTGCCCAGGCTGTTTTAGTTACAACAGAGGAAAGTTTCTTATGTTCTTCGTTATATCGGCGATTAGACATTGGCGGAATGGACATAACAGAGTGTGTTTCTTCTAATGTAGAATAACCAGCGCCAGTAGAAATTGTAGCCAAAACAGTAGCGCTATTTATGTCCATAACGGTATTGTCAGATACTGGATCGTTACATATTTCTTGTTCGATACCACAGTTCTTACATTTTAATGTAAAAACACTTATTAGTCCAGACCTTTTCTCCTTTACTAACTCCATGTTAATTATTGAACAATTAAAAAGGGGTATGCACAGTATTGTTTAAAATTTGATGAAAAAGATATTTTACATCGAAAATTCTGCGTCCGCTGATACACTCTTGCGGGTTTTCAATTGTTTCGATATTATCTGTCGACTGTCTTTCCAGGATGTTAGGACTGTTAAAAAATTTACTCAATTTTAAATTTCCTACTTCAAATAATCAACTATATTTTTATGATACTATATTTTAGTATATTGTGTTGTATAGATGTTAACTTTATTCTAATCTTTTACAAAATAAAACTGACTTTGTGAATAATTCATTAAAACTTTGGTAATATATACATACCCTAAATCAACAGAAATCTCATCTAACGAACGGTCTGTGGTTATATTATGGGAAACATTTTTTCTGCATGTACGAATAAATGTCACAATAATTCTTGAATAGTTTAAAAGTGCATGTTTTATCTGATAACTAATATTTTTAAATTGTGTCAAATTGGGTAATATTTAAAGTGAAGTTAAAAATTCGTACTTACTTGTGCCCTGCTTTATTTCTCAAAAAATTTCGTTTTTTTGACAACACTTTTGAAGGTGGTTTTCTTGTTTTCCCCATAACTCTTAAAAAGTCACTATCTCAAACTTAAATAACTAATAACTATACACACGTAAACACTAAATTAACAATAATTAACACTAAATTTCACAAAACTTTACTTTAACCAATATAACGAAAATCTCTGTGTACCTTGTTCACCCAAGACAACTCGAGGAAGGAATGTTTCAAAAACTTCTTGACTTTTAGAAAAACAAAGTAGTAAAATAAACCCTTTTTTGTTATGGGATGTAAAAACGAGTTGGTTTCAATACCTGCGTCTCTCTAGTACCAAAATTAAACAGTTATATTCTTACGTAAAGAAATAAAATAAATACATTTTAGTTAGTGTGTAAAAAGGGACTGATTTCAGTACCTGCGTCTCTCTAGTACAAAAATTCCAAAGTTATATTTTAGGTAAAGAAATGAAATAAATTTAAGTATTTCTTAAATATTTAGAACAGTAAAAGATTTCGTTGAGGATTATATTTATTTTTGTTTTACAAAATTTATAAACATATTCAATTATTGTAGATTCCTAAATACATAATCTTCAGTTGATTCAAAACCGAAAAGTCTAATGTTAAAATGTTGTAACATACTTCAGATGCCTTCAGGAAGAACATGAAAGTACATGAAAACGTATACATTGGATGATTATTTGTATCAAAATAATTCATGTTAAAAAATAATGCAAATAAATTTCATTAATTTTAATCAATAATAAAAATCTAACTCAACAATTATTGCATTTGTGCACACTGTGTAGGAGTACTATTTATTATAATATATTTAATTTATATTCTGGATTTTTTTAATTTTTAGTTCTATAATTGAATTTACATCAAATTTTTGTTACTTTTATTTAACGTTCATATCTTAATTAAATTATTAAAACGAAACGTAAGAATTCGGATCGATATACCTACTTTAAAAAATGGTAAGTTATATTTCGTTTCATATTATTTTGTGCTTTTACGGTTAATTCCTAAAGAATGAATTTGTATTTCTACGAAGTCGTAAAAGATTTAATGGTAGATAGGGTACGCACGATCTCGCAAAAACTGGTACGCCACACCACCAATCCTTTGAGGGCGGGGCTAATACAAAAATTAGGAAATTATTACAATATTTCGGCGTGGGAATTTCTCATTTTCCTCCTTTATTTTATGAAATATCAAAAAATTTTATTTAGAAAAAGTGTTCGTTTAATAAATATCTACGCCTCTTCTGAGCCCTTTTAGAAATGCTTCTTAATAATCTCGGTAATTAACAATAATTAATCAAATATCTCGCAGAAGAAGCATAGATTTTCCATTTTTAAACAACTTTTGTTTGAAACTTTTTTTGATATTTCAAACCGTTAACGCGTATTGTTGGAAATACGTTTGTCGTGGCGGTCGAAGCCCCTTAACAATACTTTCCTTTTCAATCTTCTTGTCACTCACTTGTCACTATTCGTTAACAAGCCTGCTATAAACAGTTTTTAGATTATTTCTTAGACAACTAAAAATCAAAAATTTGAACATTAATTCAATCGGTAAAGAAGCTGTTCTTGTGTTCTATGCTATCAGCGCCAAAGGTATCACGGGTCACAACTAAATTTATTATTGACGCATGCTTATACGGAATTAACACAGCATGCTCTTCTGCTCCCTGTTCACGATCTCCTTATATACCCCGGCACTCCAACTGTTTTTTCCTCGTTTCTGATTGGCTCTTAGCTTCGCGCCCTTTTCAAAATTCTTGCTTCGAAACTAGCGTCATCTCTTGATTTTTCTCGGAATTAACCTTCAAAATTAAATTCTTTTTTCGTTGATTTCTCCCTTATTCCTTTATGAAACGTAATAAAACTTCGTATTCAACGTTGTCTTTTCTTGTTTTCAGACATACATTGGAGTACACGCCAAATTTCAACAATGAGTAAAGTTAGAAAAATTCAAATTTAAATCAAGGATTTCTTCCTCAAAATAACGTTAAAATCTCAAAAGATGGATGAAAAATGTGCTTTAGGAGCTGAACTATAATAATTGATACTTTTGGAAGCAAACAAAACGGTTTAAGATAAGATTTTCACCAACAAAAAATCTCTCTGTCACAATTTCTAGGTTATGTTCTCTCGGTAAACTAAGAGAATGTTAAAATTATCACAATGGATTAAAATAGTATCCCATGTATTTATTGGTTCTCCCAATACCTTCAATGCCATGACGTGTGCATTAAACTTATCAACGGTCTATCTCAAATTACAGTGATTTTCTTTTCCAACATTTATTTGGTAGATCGAACAAAGCCTTAAGGTGATTATGAATAATTAGCCTTTCGTTTTCATATCTATCCTTCAACATATTCCACGCTAAAGAATAGTTTTCATTAGATGTTTCCAATGCTGCCAAAAGATTTAATGGTTCGTTTTGTAAACTACTTCGTAGGTATCGAAACTTTTCTGATGATGTTAATTTATCATTATTATGAACCGCAGACATGAAAGCATCTTTGTTACCTTTCTTTGTTACCTTTCAAAAACCAATCTGTATATTCTCCGCTGAATTTTGGAAGAGTTAAAGCCAGTAGATGAATGTTCTTCATATGTATCGACTCAGTATGACTCGAACAGCCCTGAACTGAATTGCTTTGACAAGAATTACCTTGTAAAAAGTTACGTGCTCTTGAGATAACCCCATAAAAGGTATCTTCAAACTCTTTTCTTGATTCCGCAGCGTTTCGTAACTCTGTTTCATCCATTTCCTCTATTAAATCTTGAATTTCTTCATATCTATCTAAAAGATTATCTGCTTTCTCTAATCGTACCCTTAATTCCGTCTCTGCTTTTGAATCTCCTCGTTGATAGGTGCCAACAAACGTAGCAAATTTAGTAAGAGAGCTTTTAACGTTGCCTCTTTTACGTTTTAATTGTACTAAATCCATTTTACTTAATTGTTTATTATTTTTTATTTTATGCGAGTGAGACTAGGAACGATCAAAAAGGAATCAATGAAAGGAACTTACCGTTTTTCTCTCGTCTTGTGTATAACGTACAACATCGGTAATCTACCACAATGTTGCGTAATGTCGCCCAATCTCGTCTGATGCACCACGTTCTTCTTGTAACGTAGCCGACTTCTTGCTTGATTATTGTTTATTCTTGAAAGTATGCGGTTCGAAGGACCAAAATATGTTTGTTAAAATGATTTACTGGTTTTTTTAAGAATTCAACTATTAATATTTAACACCTTTATTACGAAACCATACGAAACCGTACAACAACGACATGATTCTTACACTTTCTTAATCTAACGGTTCTAACCTCTTCTTATTAGGTTTTTACGTGTAGGCAAGGTAGAACCCTAAATAAAATTGCAGATTTCTATAACATTTTGTTTATATTGTGATTGACGTGAGCCGTCAGATCCCCATTTATATATTAGTTCTAAGTTTTTTATTTCGTCATGGCTCAACATTAATAAAACTTCTTTTAAGTATTCACATAATCGCGAAGAAGTGTGATCTAATAAGCTTTGTAATTTTATTTCAGCACTAGTTTCTGTTATGACTGTGCTGACTGTTATGGCATCCTTAGATGGATAGCACTCTTTCTTTGCTCGTTGCAAAACACTGTAGCATAGGTATAATTTCTTGTCGCTAGTCCTAACCACTTCATATTGTCTTCTGGACAAATCGGCTTCTACAAACATCGCCAAAGCNTTTGTCATGGCTCAACATTAATAAAACTTCTTTTAAGTATTCACATAATCGCGAAGAAGTGTGATCTAATAAGCTTCGTAATTTTATTTCAGCACTAGTTTCGCTGACTGTTCTGGCATCCTTAGATGGATAGCACTCTTTCTTTGCTCGTTGCAAAACACTGTAGCATAGGTATAATTTCTTGTCGCTAGTCCTAACCACTTCATATTGTCTTCTGGACAAATCGGCTTCTACAAACATCGCCAAAGCTTCTTGCGGTGACATTTGTCTAGCGGCCTCGGCAGTACTGGCAGAGGAAAATGCTGTTTAATATTTCTGTCCTTATCTTGGGAAAACTGCTACGTCTTTTACTACTCGAGAAGCAGATACGTTTCCAGATTCACGTAATTTCATTTGCGCTGCATATATTTGTTCAACTACCGATGAACTTCGCAATTCTGTTGTTTTTCTTCTCTTGGTTCGTTCGCTTGATTTCTCAAAGCATTTTGCTTTAAAAATACTTCACGTTTTTTATGAGCATCTTGCCATTTAGTCCTAAGTTTGGATTTTAAAATTCTTATTTATTGAGAAACATTTGCCTTCTCCTCTTCATTAAAATTGTTATCGATAACTAAATCGTTTTCCATGAAAACTAATTTTTCTGACAAAGTTTTTTCTGGACAATTTCGCATGATCTCGTAAAGATGTCTACGGGTTACTACTTTAGAATCCTTTGGAAATGTATGAAATTTTACAATACCACTTTTAAATCCCACACTTTGATTATCTTTATAGCAACCAAATACAGAACACCGCATTTTTCTATTGTTTGCGTTGACTTTTTAGGTTATTTTTTCTATAAAGTAGACATTTATTTCAATAATTATAAATTAGGTACTATAACATACCAATTACCATAACTCTTTAATCAAATAATGTAAAAATAAGCACTATAACACTTCACAAAGTTCTAGTTTTAGTTCAATATAAAGTTCCTTTATACGAATTTTTTAAACGCCACTCTCTTAGTGACGTCTCGCATGCATTGTCCGCCATCTTGACAATGCGCAATAGCTTACCTGTAGATTCCTAGTATCATGATTTGAACATATTATTCTAACACATGTAGACGGTACTTCCAAATACTTTTAAGTCTAACGAAATCCAACGAAGCTGTTCTTCCCATCCATAGCTTGTATGGTGTTACATTCGGGTTTCTTTTGTTTGTTGTACGGTTCAGAATATACACAGCTGTATTTACAGCTTCTGCCCAAGTAATTCGGCAAATCTTTTGTTTATATCATAGAAGAAGCACTTTCTACTATTATCATATGTTCTCTCTCCACTTTATTATTGTGTTCATGACAATAAGGTGAACATGTTACAAAGTCTATTACCTTTTTCTTTAACAAATCTTGAAACTGTTCGTTTGTGTACTCTTTGCCATTGTCAGTACGAATGATTTGAAATTATCTACACTTTTCTAAAGCCAGTAGCGTCATCTTTAAATAGAACAAAGTACAGACATCCACTTATGGCGGGGGTTGAGATTACAAAAGCCCGTATGTATGAACTCCCCCGGTTTAGTGTTTTTCGGTTCTGCTTTGTCAAATGGTAATTTATGCTGTTTACCATACTGACAGCCATCACACACGTCGTCATGTGATATTCGATTTATGACACCCTTCTGTACCATTTCTTTCATCGTTTTGAAGTTAATATGGCCTAAACATGAAGGGGTTATTAGGCGTTGTCGACACTATCATGTTTACTAAATCAAACGGAACTTCACACTTTTCTACTCGCTTCATCTTTTCTATCTGGGCGAAGTCCCGGTCACAACTCAAGTAAGAGTGACCGGAAATTAAGTATTTCTAGTTGACTTCGTCGATATAGCCCTTTGCAATTAAATACATCCATAAAAAAATGCTCGTGATTTTGGGTAATGCAATTAAATTTGTAACTAGAAATTTGGACGCCACAGACACCGAACGCTATGATAGTTTGATAAATCTGTTAACAGAGAAACAAATTAATTTGGTTATGAATAATGATCGTTTTCTCAGGTACTTGAATGAGACACACGAAAAGTTAAACTATGTATAATTTTCACAAATCGATTTTGGGCCATCAGCCGTGATATACTTCTCTCCTAACAAACCGAAGTTCTTAAACATTTAAACAGAAAAATATACGAAATTATAGAAATAATAAATTTAGTTAAGAGAAATATTTTGCATTCTTTGTTAATTGCACCAGAACAACTCCTTAAAGAATTAAAAGACATTGATTTAGATTCTACACATAAATTTCCTTTCGAAGTCATCCTATAACATATCTATAACACATCTATCTTATTGAAACATTGGTTGAGCTTAAAGCCTATCAAAAGTTTTATGTTTACAACACCACTTAATGGTGCGTAAGTTGAGATAGAACCCTCCTCTAGATACATCGCTACTAACGATAATGTTTAGTTTCTAATGGATGGACAATGTCATCACTTGACACAAAATGAATATTTATGTTACAATCAGCGTTCCACGCTATAATAAAACCAATTGCGAATTTGAAATTATAACGCACGGCAATCTCACAAATTGTAAGTTTTTTGAAGTAAAAATTAACGATTATAAAATAATAGAGNGGCAACCCAAATAACGAACCAAATTTTATGTAACCATGACAATTTTGTCGATTTTCAAATGTTACAAATAAAACAAGCAGCCATTATTGTATTCGTTATTAAAACGACGCCTTTTATTCGATCCTCTGAAGAATTCAACTTAGAACCCCAATTCAAGTAAGAAATTTCCAATTTTTCTTTCGAACCAACACCTACAATTATTCCCGACATTTGTCGCGCGAACAATGAGCATCTTGCCATTTAGTCCTAAGTTTGTATTTTAAAATTCTTATTTGTTGAGAAACATTTGCCTTCTCGTCTTCATTAAAATTATTATCGGTAACTAAATAGTTTTCCATGAAAACTAATTTTTCTGACAAAGTTTTTTCTGGACAATTTCGCATGATATCGTAAAGATGTCTACGGGTTACTACTTTGGAATCCTTTGGAAATGTATGAAATCTTACCAATACCACTTTTAAATCCCACATTTTGATTATCTTTATAGCAACCAAATACAGAACACCGCATTTTTCTATTGTTTGCGTTGAACTTTTTAGGTTATTTTTTCTATAAAGTAGACAGTTATTTCAATAATTATAAATTAGGTACTATAACATAC